AAATAAACCACCTTCCTAGGAGAGGAGTGCAACACATAAGGACACCTCTTTTTCTCATGGTTCGAGTGTAACACGAGTGAAGGATGTCCCCCAGCAACGTAGGTATAGGATTCCTGGACATAAAGATCTGGACAGCACTGATATCAATAAGCTGATTTGGGTTAGGGAACAACACCAAACCATAGACAAGGAGGGCCACAACTTCTTCAAAAGCCTGTAAGTCAAGGGAGTTACAACATTCATGGGCCTTTTCAAACAGAAACCTGGCTAAGAACCCTTTGATACCACTTCTAACTTCCCAATGTCCCTTGAGGTCAGATGACTGTAGGTGCAAGGCTTTAGCAATCTCTTCAAGCTTAGGTTCCTTTTCCGTACCGTTGTAGGGTAGCTGATCAAGGATAGGGATCTTCAGGAGCCGGGAGAACTCCTCCAATGTAGGTACCAGCTGATAATCCAAGAAGGTGAAACAGTGATGCAGAGGGTCAAAGAACTGGAACAGGACCTTTATCATGTCTTCCTCAATGTTGGTATTGACCAAGCTGATGAGACTTCCATGTCTTTCACTGAATGAAGAGTTCTCGGGAATCCTGGATATAAGTTCCTTAAGCTGAGGAGGGATCCTTACAAGACTGATTTGAATTGTCTTTCTACGAACAGTTTCCATGTCCTACAAAACAAGAACAAAGATGAAAATTCGAACCCCTGAAATGGTTAGTCAATGCATATGATGCTGGATGATGTCATGATGCTATGATTAAACACACCACAGATATTTACAAAGACAAACATGTAAGGCACACAAGGCACACAAGACAAGCCCTTAGGGTTTAAGGCCAGCATGGGGTCTGGGTAGTACCCTCTTGAAGTTGGTGGGTTCATCCTGTCCTATTAGAAGTAACCGGGTTCTAAGGGTCCCAATATCACGGGATTGCTTTCATTGTTCATCGTTTCGATTTAGCCACTGAACTGGCGACCGAAATATTCCAGGAAAGCAACCCTCAATTGAGTGTAGTATCGAGTATCAACCAACCTCGGACTGCACCAAAGTCAGTTATCTCACTACCCTAAAGAGGCCAAGATAGTTCAATTAAGGTTCCTAAGGTCTGTTGATGCTTCACGACACCACGCGAAGGCCCCGTACTCTCCTTGACTGAACTCAAGGGTTACCGGTACACACCAAAGTGCCACATCAACGTAGCAGACTGTTTCAACCATGTCGGTATACCCCGCACAGTTCCCTCACAGCCTTGTTGCTACTTTCTAAGAAGGTATTCCCCAGATCCGGGTTAGGATCTATAGAACTCCCAAGCAACCCACAATTTAAAGCACACAAGGAAAGCAATTGAAAACACAGTGATCTTAGTCCTAAGGTACACCTCACTTTAAGTAAGTCCCCAGCAGAGTCGCCAGTTCTGTGATCGGTGGATCTGGAACTGACTGTTTAACGCTGGTTCGCGAAATGTCGCGGAAGCAAGAGTCGCCACCGTCTTTTATTTTCTCCAAATGGAAAGGACAAAAGCACAGAAAAATTCCTTAAAGAGATTGCTCTCGGTTCGGGAGGTAGGTTATAGAAAGGGAAGGTGTTAGCACCCTTTCTATCCATGGTTATCCATGGGCTCTTAGATACTTGCTCATTGTGTTTTCAAAATGGTTTGTTTGCTTTTCAATTGTGTGTTTTAAAAAGTTTCTTTGAAAATTCCAGTTCGACTCTTGTATCGGTCCTCAAGAGTGTTTGAAAAATTGCTTTCGAAAGCTTTTGAAAAGGTGTCGGTGTGAAAAGTATTTTTTGAATTTGTTTTGAAATTTAGAGCAAGTATCTAGAGTCGTCTACCTACCCTAAGGAATTCGTCTGTGTAGATGTCCTTTAAAGTAGTGCCATCCCACCATTGAGAGGTAGGTAGCACCACCGTTGGAGGTGTTCGGGTCAATTCGAGGTTCGGGACATGGTGATCACCAGAGCAATGGGAAGACACCTTAGAAGCTACCCTCATGCCAGGTTCCCGGATCATGAGGACTTACTAAGACATCCTATACTCGACGATCACCTTTCGAGGCAAGGCAACAGTGAGGCGTACCCTAGGGGTGGTGTGTGATTTGTGTGTCGTTTTTCAGATATTTTGTTTTATTCATGTCAGGTGATCTACGCGTTTGTTTTTGTCATTCATTCTTGCATGCCATTATTAACAGTTAAAAAATTGCGGAAAGATAAAGTTCATAAACTATTACAAAAGGCGCGGGTCCACATCGCCAAAATTTCCAGAACCCGATTTGACAGAAAAATAAAGAATTAAAGAAAATCAAAGTGCGAGAAATATATTACATGGCCTTGGGAGAGATACATAAATATTAAAAGAAAAATAAATAAATATGCGAATTGAATTAAAGTTGAAACGAGGGCGTTGGACCCTTTTTAATTAAATTAAATTAAACGATTATTAAATTAATAAAATTAAAAGGAAAAGAAATTGTTTTTGGTATTTTTGTATTTTATGATTTTAATAAAAAAAGAATTAAATGAAATTAAAAGATTAACCATAATTCTAATTGTTTGAGTTTATTAAGAAAGTATTAAATTTTAACCTAGTATTAACCTAATTATTTACGTGCAATTTTAATTTATAAAAATAAATAATATTTTAATTATTATGAAAGAAAAGAAAAAAAGATAAAAAATTATTCAAACCCTAATTCTACCAATTTTAGATTTTTATTAAAAAATATTAAGAGTAAATCCTAAATTTAAAACTAAGTGAATTAATGAATTTATTTACAAAAATACTAATTAACAAATATATTTAATTTTTATCTTTTCTGATTTTTTTGGTGTTTTTCATATTATTGTGAAAATAATAATTTAAAAGAAATTAATTAAAATAAAGAAAAGAAAAAAATATAAAAAAGGTTAAAAGAAACAAACTATAGGGGGGTGATGTCCCCAAGTGGAGGGTGAAGTCCAACAATTTGGGCCCAATAGCTTTGGCCTCTTTGACTTTTTCCACCAGCGGGCCCAAGCGTTGACTGAGGTTCATCATATTCTTCAGGTCGTGACCCTTGGATTGATGAGATTGAACGCGTGGCAGGCTGAGATTTTGGACGTATGGTATTCCTCCATGGTGAACCTGCACAGAATCCTTAATAGAAAAATAATGTGAAAGGGGTGGGGGACCTGGGGCTCGAACCCAGGTCCCAGGGGTTACCACTGAGCGTGCTTGCCATTCGTGCTGCGTTGTTCATCTGTATATTAAATAACAAACAAATATTATAAGATAAAACCACGCGTTAGTGCTTTTTAGCGCGAAATTTTAAATCACCCAATTGTTCCTTGCCACCTCGCCTTCTTCTTCTTCGTTCATTTTTTTTTCTGAAACACAAAGAACATAGGCCACGGTTTTGTAAACATTCCAAAATGTGCCCTTTTGGAAAATAGCGATTAGCTAGTCTTGGCATATAAATAGGGCGCGACCCCATCAATGGATTGGTTGGAAGCTTCTGAATCTGATGGTGCCATTATCGTGTCCCAATTGTTCCTTGAACGTAAAGCCCTAAATCCAAATTCCTGTAACCCTAAAACGCAACAATGGTGTCTTTGCATATAATGTATAAAAACGCAATTAAGTTACACAGTTAGCATCAGAATGACATAATGAGCACAAATCCAATATTAGAATTCACAAATAATGCATGGATGATGTTTCAAGAAAACTGAAAAAAGCTTGAACCGGCCATGGTCGTGCTACCTATTCCTTGTGCTAGGGGCGATGATTTTGATCTGTATGTGTTCCTTGAAGCCTCAGGAACACAATGGAATCAGTGTTGTGGCTTGAAACGACCTGCAAGTGTGTTTTCAGTTTTGAGTTTTCAAGCAAAAAATTCAAGTTTTGTTTCTTGTCTATGGCGCAGCTTTCAGTCTGTATGCATTAGGGTTGCACTTGGTACTTATGTGTGAAGGTTCTAGGGTTGAGAAACTGATCACAAATCCATGAATTGATGAAAAATATATTTGATTTTCAAAGCAAAATATTTTCTAATCTTTTCATGCAAACTTAGTCCAAATCATGTTAAATTATCTTCAATTCTTTCCTAATCTGATTTGCACAAAATCTCGGAGATATTATATGCACAAAAAGATTGAAAAACCTAGGTTTAGTATTTTTTATATATTTTATTTAATTAAATGAATTATTAATAATAAAAAAATCCAAATAAATAAATAAAAATGATAAAAAAACTTCCCTTTGGGCCAAATGGTCGTGCACATGCCTTGGATAATGACTTGTGGAAGAAAAAGAGGCCCATTAGCAATTTTAGGTCATTTGAATCAATGTTGACTTTTCAAAATATCCAAAAACTTCCCAACTTCCTGAAGCCATAATTTGCTCAATTTTTAAGCTTTGCTCATGTTCTTGGACATTTTAGAAAGGTATTTGAGTCCTCTAACCAATTCCTTTGGTCCCATGTCATTTTGATTTACCAATCTCAAGTTATGGCCTTTGACTTAAAGTCTCTTTTTGTTGACTTTTGAAAATGACCTATAATGTTGAAATTGATAACTTTTTGTGAGAGCATTTCTTGGACTTGAAGTATGAAGAGGAGTTGTAGGAAATGTCTTTATCTTCAAAATGAGCTTTGGATGGAATTTTTCTGATAATCCATGTGAAAGTTATGCCCTGGTCAATTTACAGTTGACTTTTTCAACTGTCCAAATATGGAAACTTTTGCATCTTGATGATTTTTGAGCCAATCTTTGAGAATCATGATCAAGCATTGATCAAATGATGTTTGTGGCTTCAAAATGAGATGTTGACCAAAAATTTGAACTTTTGACTGTCAAATGACCATTTTGCCCCTACAGTTGACTGTAGTGCAATTAGGGTTTTTGACTGTGCAACTTTGTGCTGAAAGTCTTGAAACTTGGTATGAAGATGCTTGACCATATTTGTAGGCATGTGGGATTTGATTGGACCCTTGGAAACTTCATTTTCTTTGTCAGAACCAAAACCCTAATTTTGACTGTTTAGGAGGCCCTTGAATTGTGCAACCCTTGGGGAATTTTGAAATTTTGAAGGATATGGGAGGGCAAATTTTGGGGTACAACAATGACATTCCTGCTGATCAGGCCTTTCGGGTAATGACTGTTCCTTCTGACTACTGCCTGAAGGACCAGTTGAGGAACCAGAAGGTTGAAAAAGTCCAGTAAAGGCAGTAGTCGGTGAAGGTAGCTGAGTTATCCCATAAATATGTGGCGAAGCAATGCTCAACGGAGTACTCGTAGGAAGCACAGGACTTGCAGCCTGAGCCTGCATCAACCACTCAACAGCTTCAACGAAAGCACATATAATATAATTTGAGTAAGCAATCAAACAAAAATCCTGGACATACCTGATGATAAGAGCTCCAGCCTTGAAAAGGTACCATGGTGGGGGACACTACCAAAGGCCCGTATGGACCCTGGACAAACGAGCCATGCAGCACAGGTGGCCTCGCGACCAGGACACTGTATTGTTGTTGTGAAGGGCCGGATGGAGGCTGTACAGTTTGATAGATTGGTGAAGGTACTGGCACAGGCAGAGGTGAAACTTGGGGAGTAGGTGATGGTGCTAGCATTTGGACACCGGTGGGCTGTGGATGATGGAATTTACAAGTAACACCAAACTTGCATTATCCTGTTTTCACATAGTAGGTACAGTCTTTCTCACCCTGTTACAATTAATTATAACAACTCAATAATCAGAACAAATTGGATTCACGATATAGAAATGCGAGCACAATAGTCACAAAATATCATGGTACAAAAAATATAAAGTGAAACAAACCACTCGCAACGGATATCCATAATGGTTTAGCGACACGGGGGCAATAACTCCTGCTGTTTGTTTAGGATGGTGATACTTGCATGAAGCACCAAATTTGCACGATCCCGTCCTTATGTAATACTGCAGTTTAACAATAAGCAGATATAATCAATACAAAAGGAAAACAACTGATTTTGAAGACAATTAAAACAAAATAAAACTCAACTTCACTCCCAAACTGACATGCATGCATGCAACAAAACAAAACAAAAAAACTCAATTTCACTTCCAAACTGGCCTGCATGCAAACAAGCTACTCAAGATTGATGTTTTAAAAACCGAACCGAAAACGTTCAATCGAATTGAACCATGAACCGACACGGGCTACGGATCGACTATTAATGTGGTTCAATTGTGGTTTCTTTCTGGTTCCATTAGTTCAAAAGATTTGATCTACGATCCAACCAGATCAATGTCCAGTTTGGTTCTTAAATCAATGCTGACAGATTGTTTTCCATAACAGAAAGGAATAACAACATCAATTGTGATACTCAATCATCAATCAATATGCATGCAGCACTCAATCATCAATCAATATGCATGCAGCCCGCAATTGAGCAGAAGCAGAACTAAGTACCTGGCACAACGGTTGTCCAACTCGTTCTGGATACTCCTCTGCAATCCTCGCAGCTCCAATAACCTTAAGCAGCACAAAAACAAATCCTCAAATGTGTCCAATGCACAACCTCAATCTCATGCAATCAAGTGAAATTAACAGATAGGGATTGCAATCTTTCGGATGAACCACAAGAAGCTAGCTTCAGCAACAAAATTTACATGTATTTAGAAAAATTACCAGCCTGTTTATTTTAAGATCAAAAAATTTAATTTTACCTTTGAAATGGCCGGTGATGCATCATTTGAAATGGCCAATGATGAGCACAAAAGCAATACAATAAACTACATCTCTTTTTTTATGATTGTTTCATACCATCAACAACATCACTTGAAATTTGATTACATTTGTCCAATGGAGAAGCAATAGGTTCACATTTGGATAACATTTATGAGAAGCATTTGATCGAATAGGTGGAGGATCATCGTCCCCGGCCTATGTTGATTGGAATGGAGGCATCAACGGGCCAATTAACTTTTCCAAAAGGATGAATTCTTCCTTCAAAGCTCTACTAAGTTTCTCCATCTCTGGACTGTGTTCTTCTTCTTCGATGCTTGTTAAGGGGTAAGAGACGAATATATATCAACATGAAAACTGGAAAAAAAAACCATATACAATACAAATCTGGGTGTGATAGAAGTAATGTCAACAATAAAGCTCCATTTTTGAAGTAAAAATATATATTTAACATAAACTTCCTTTGAATCAAAAAACGAGAAGCTTGAGAACAAAAAACCATAAGTTGTATAGCAGAAAAACATTATAACATTAAACATAAACTTCTTTGAATAGGAACAAAAAAGCTTTTAAACCAAATAAGTTTTGAATAGAAAAAAAATATAAGTTGTATAACATGAAACCTGATACGAATTGCAGTTGGCCAGAGAAGTGGAGCATCGTTGACCGCCGTAGAAGCTCTGGTTTAGGGTTTTTTCGTGAAGAAAATCTGACTGAGAATAGAAAAGTGATACGAATTGTGTTTTGATATTTATTATAAAACTACCTACGAAAGCGCTTTTAAAAGCGCTTTCTAAAGGTCATCTATAACAGCGCTTTTACATCAAAAAACGCTTTCGTAGCATATCCTATAGCAGCGCTTTTAAAAGCGCTTTCTAAAGGCCAGTTTTAGCAGCGCTTTGGAAAAGCACTTTCTAAGGCTGACCTTTAGCAGCGCTTTTGAAAAGCGCTTTCTTAAGGTACCCTCTGGAAGGCCAGCTTTAGCAGCGCTTCCCAAAAAGCGTTTTCTAAGGGTGACCTTTAGAAGCGCTTTTGAAAAGCGCTTTCTTAAGGCACCATTTGAAAGCGCTTTTTTAAGCGAATTTTTTTTAAAACCTACAGCAGCGCTTTTTTCCAAATGCGCTTTCTTTTATGTGCTGCTAAAACTTATTTTTTCCGTAGTGTCTAAAGGAGAATTCACCTTAGAAATGAGAGTGACGAAAAATAATATCAAATTCTCGGAAAGTGAAACATTAACGTGGAATTTGTCAAATATAATATAGATCTCATATTTCAAAACATCCCAAAACTTTTTATATAAAGAAAAATTAAACTCATCCGATCTCAGACTCTTACAACTATCTATATCCACCACAACCGCATCAATCTCAGCGGGAGTAAAAGCAAAAGAAAGGAGTTCAACCTCAACATGCAAAAGACACGGGAGAGGGACCCCATCTGGTCGAGGTCTACTGTGCACATAATGTAAGAACTATTAACACTCTTTAAAAATAGTTTAGTGAGTACAAAGTCTACATCTGAAAAACTTAGTTAATGTCGTAATATAATCAGTTAGAGAAAAAATTACAAAATCGAAATTATTTTCTTAATTGTGCGGGGACGATAGATAGTGCCAAAGTAAACGATGTGTTTAGTCTTACTAAAAATAAATATTAACTAGTGGCTAAAAATAATATTGCTCAAACGCATCAACAACTCTTGTCTCCTAGTAAACCGTGGTCTCCAAGAAACTTACAAGAAAACAAATAGAACCTACATGGTGTTTTCTAAGTTGCGGAACAGCACTTGAAACATTCATATCATACTCCATTAATCCTTATAAAAACCATTCATTTTGAGTTTATACAACACGTAAGTTAAAATCACAAACAATTATATTCTTCAAGATTCAAACATTTCAAATCATTGAAGATGAAAATTGGTGAAATATGGTCACAACTAGGTTCAATCATGGCTAGCATAATGTTTGTATATGCCATGTTTGATAAATTCTTCCCACCTCATCTTCGTAGATATTTTCTCAAATACACAAACAAATTCTCAACTCTTTTCTATCCATATATACAAATCAAATTCCATGAACTATCCGGAGAGAAACTCAAACACAGCGAAACTTACAAAACCATCCAAACATATCTCAGCGCTAACTCGTCACAAAGTGCTAGAAGACTTAAAGCGGAAGTTATCAAAGATAGCCAAAATCCATTAGTCCTAAGCATGGATGATAACCAAGAAATCGTCGACGAGTTCAATGGAATCAAAGTTTGGTGGTCTGCAAATCACACCACTTCAAAATCACAATCATTTTCATTTTTCCCTACTTCGGATGAGAAGAGATTCTTAACATTAACCTTCCACAAAAGAAATCGCGATGTTATAACTACCTCGTACATTCAACATGTGTTGGAAGAAGGAAAGGCTATTACAACGAAGAATAGGCAGTTAAAGCTTTACACCAACAATCCAAGCAAGGAATGGATGAGGTATATGAGTACAAAGTGGAGTCATACAAGTTTTGAGCACCCGGCGTGTTTTGAAACACTTGCTATGGAACCGGAGAAGAAAGAAGAAATCATAAATGATCTTCTTAAGTTCAAAGAAGGGAAAGAGTATTATACTAAAGTTGGAAAGGCTTGGAAGCGTGGTTATTTACTTTTTGGTCCTCCGGGGACTGGAAAATCTACCATGATATCTGCTATTGCTAATTTCATGAACTATGATGTTTATGATCTTGAGTTAACCGTTGTTAAGGATAACAATGAGTTGAAGAGGCTTTTAATTGAGACGTCGAACAAGTCTATTATAGTGATTGAAGATATTGATTGTTCTTTGAATCTTACTGGGCAAAGGAAGATGAAAAAAGAGAATGATGATGATGAGAATGAAGAGAAAAAGAAACTTGTGGATAAAGCTAAAGGAGAAGAGAAAAATGAAAGTAAGTTAACTCTTTCGGGTTTGTTGAATTTTATTGATGGAATTTGGTCGGCCTGTGGAGCGGAGAGGATTATAATATTTACGACGAATTTTGTGGATAAACTTGATCCTGCTCTCATTAGGAGGGGAAGGATGGATAAGCACATAGAGATGTCATATTGTAGCTATGAAGCATTCAAGGTTCTTGCAAGGAATTACTTAGATGTTGAGTCTCATGATGAGTTGTTTCCAGTTATTGGAAAGTTGTTGGAGGATACTAATATGACACCTGCTGATGTTGCTGAGAATTTGATGCCAAAGTCTATTACTGAAGATTTTGAAACTTGTTTGAAGAAATTGATTCAATCTCTTGAGGAAGCAAAGAAAAAGTTAGAGGAAGAGGAAGCAAAGAAAAAAACTGAGGAGAAGGTTGAGGAAGCAAGACTTAAGGAAGAGAAAGATAAACAAAAAATTGCTCAAGAGGAAGAAAATGTGAAGGCTAATGAAAATTCTAAGGAAAATGATAAGGAGAATGGTTTAATCCATTAACTTGGTTTAGATTAATTTCAGTAATATGAATTATGTTTAGGAACATTTTAGTAAAAATTTAGTTGTGTATTATGATGTTCATATTAGTTGCTATTGAATAAACGACTGTGAGGTCATGTTTAGTTTTTGGCATGCTTAGGGAGTATAGTGTGAATTGTCTAGCACATGTTGGTTTGGGGGACACATCACATCGAAGGTGATGAAAGATTTTAATGGACTAAAATAAAATAAAGTTATATTTGTACTACTTGGATTTGAATATGACTATATTCTTATATGTATTTGAAGTTGCATGTTTATGATATCTTAAGAGTTATTGTTTTGATAGTTTGTATTTTTAAGTTTTTGGTTTTATTTTTATGTTATTGAGTCTCTTTATCAATTGCATTTGTTTGGATTGAGTTTTAAATTTGTATTTTAACATGTATAAATCAAAGTGTTTGATTATAGTTTAACCAATATAATTGAAGTCAATCTATTGAATTTTTGAATTAGGAATTCAAGTCTTAACCAGTCTAGAATCTCAAAAATCCTCTGAAATTTTGAGAAAAAGAAATTATGCATGTGTGATTCGAATCACATAGTTTGTCTAACTCAAATCACATTCATAGAGAGCTCATGAATGTATTTCCAGTTTTCTTAATTCGAATCATAGGAAGGTCTGATTCAAATCATAACACTCTGACTCGAATCACATAATTGCCTGATTCGAATCACACTAAAATGGAATCCTCCTAGTTGCTTATGGAACTCTGATTCAACTCACCAGTTTGTGTGATTTGAATAAAGTGACTCAAATCACATATCATGTGACTCGAATTACACAAATGAGTTTCATATAGTTTATTCTTCTTGATTCTAATTACTTGATTTTTTTATTCCAATCATAACTCTTGTTTTTTAATCGAATCATACATAATTTTTTTTCATTTTTGTGCTACATATCCAACACATATAATTATAATTTTCTCTCAAAACCTTCAAAGTTATAAAACTTACACTTCTAATATTGATTTGAAAAATTATAACTCGTTCTCTCATATTTTCAAAAGAGTTTTGAGTCTTTCTTGAACACTTGCAAACTATTTCTTTCATCTTCTACCTCATTCTTTTTTCTATTGTTACATGGATCAAAATTTCATATTTAGATATTTGTGATTGTGTTAACTAGAAATTTTGACTACATGAGTTTTAGTTAAATTAATACATTTTTTATGATGTGATTCGAATGAAAGAATAAAAGAGTCAATGAGAAGACTTTGATAAGTGAAAAGCTAAAACTGAAGGTTTAATTTTACTAATGTTGACGAAAGGTCCGTATAAGGACCATAGAGATATCAAGTTTATTCGAAGTATCAATGAGCATGCTTCGGCCGTCACGTTTTGGCGCTTCGAAGATAAGGAGTTTCAAATTCAAAAAGATTAATCTTATCCAAAGAGACGTGTGGAAGCTTGGAGTTCGAAGATACATGTAATTGTCGAACGTGGCATCGTATTTTTTAGAGACTGTTTGGTCGAAATTAGTATAAATAGAAGTCTTAGTGTTAAGATTTAGTGTGTTCACATCTTTTCTACAAATACTCAAATCACTAAAGTACCAGCGTTAAGAGAAAAGAGTTTGCAAGAATATACGTATGATGCACTGTTTGCACATTTATAGTCATTTTATTTTATTTAAAGTTTTATATATTCCATTTAAATTCCAGTCGAAAGCCTTTTACAATTCAGTCTTATCTTTAAAATATTACGTTATTGTCTGCGAAATAATAATTGAAATGACATTTATCTAAAATAATGAAGATGTTGTTGAAAATACTCTTTATTATAAGAACATAAACATTAAATAAGAACACATGTACTTAGAATCAATCTGATTGATCCTGCAAGTTATCATTTCTACAAAGATTTGGAAGATCAGCGGTTGTTTACCAAATTTCACGGTAAACAAATTAACACACCCAGTAGGACCTTGTGTTCAATTTCTTGTTTTTCTGACAATTTTTATGTTCCAGTCTAAAAATTTCTTTGAAATTCTTCATTATCTTTTTATTTCTCTGGGTTGTAAGAAACTTAGGAGTGGTAAATTAGCCACAAACAACAAAGAAATATCCAAAAGAAAATAAATTAGGAGAAAGGCAAATCAAGGCCAGGAAGGAAATCACAATCCTCCTAACAATGAGGAAGTTCCACCCCCAGTCACTTGGACATAGGGAAATACGGTTGTTGCACATTCTACTGAGGCCATACCATCGTTAACAAGTTTGACGCCAACACAACCGAATACATACATGGGCCTTCTATTAACTTACATAGGCTCACATGGTTCACAAGGAACCCCCCGGAAGGGGAAATATTTTTCATAGGCCTCAGGGGCCATCTGGTTTTTCCATGCCTCAGAATGGGCGTGAACGGCCATATGGCATGCCATCTTCGTTTATGATGGGGTTACATAATTATACTTCAACATATTCAGATCCTATGATGAATGTGACTTTTCCATTACAAGGTTCTGGAACTGCGGTTAATAAGAGGGGTCGAAATATCCAACCACCAATCGAAGGAGTTTCATCCCAAATACCAAACTTAACAAATCAATCTGCAGGAGTGATTAGGAAGCAAATGGATGAGAGTAATCATGAAATGGTCCAGATGCTTGTACAAACTATGGGTACATCTTTAACCCTTTAATCCAGAACACCACTCATGCGAACCAAACGATCTCGATGCAAATGACGCGCATCGCTGACTTTTTTGGTGTAACGCAACTGTTGTACCCAAAAAAATTTCCTCTCTTTTCTCAAGACACTTCTCACAAAGATCTTCCAAAGCTCAAGCTTGCACAAGTATTGACTAGGTCAAGCCATCTCCTTAACATTGATGCCTCAAATTAGGGTTTTGACAGAGAATGGCTGATTCTTGACTTTTAACTTAATACATGACTTACTGGTTTGAAACATGATATCAAGGATTAAAGGACATCATTTTTACCTGATTTCATGGCTCAAAACATTTCTCAAGATCATTGGATTGATGACGGAATTTGGTTAACTAATGAAAAAGTCAATTGATACACCAAAAGTCAAACTTTGACTTTTTGGTCAACATTAAGTTTCAAAGATCAAAATTCATCAATACATTCAAGAATATCAAGCTTGATCATCAAGAAATCAAGAAAGTCAAAATTCAATTTGAAAAGTCAAACTTTTCAAGACTTAGAAATTTTTCTAAGTGTTTTACACATGTTTATTTCATAACTTCATACCAATTTTTCTCCATTACGCAAAATGATTCAGAGGAAACTTTCAACATGAAAGTTGTAGATATTGATGAATTCTACAACTTTGTATTAGAGGGTTGATGTCCAAAAAATACTTAGATTCAAAGATATAAGCCCATGAAGACATGACATTTTCATCTAGCACTAAGAGAAATTTTCAACAGATTTTGTTCAGGATTTTATCCCAACTTCTTGCCATTTTTCACATACTTCCAAGATGATTTTGTCAAAATAGCCAACATTAAAGTTATAGATGATATTTCAAGCTTTCCAAAACATCCAAGATCGTGAATTTATGATACCTGAGCTAGGAGATTCAAAGGCATGAAGTTGGGCATCCATTCTTGAATTGCAAGTCTTTGTGTTGAAGAACACATAACAGAATCCTTATGCTATGTTGCATAATCTTGTGTTTCAGGCATTATAACTTGACAATCTCACCATAATTTAATGCTTACACCTACTTTGGAGCTATTACCCAAGTGTTTGAGCCATTGTCCAAAAGATCTTTCCATTTATCGTATAAAGTCACCATTGCTATTCTTGAAAAGAAAGCTTTTGATACAAAATTTATCTTGAGCCCATACCTTGTTTGCTTCTGATTTTACTCCACCATAAATCATGTAAAGTAACCCCCTCTATACCAGCAACTTTGGTACTTCACCTTGGGACTATGGAGTATTTTACATAACTTGATATTTGCAATCCAACCTAACCATAACTCCATAATTTGTAAACCTAATCAGCTCTTATTCACAAACCTTTTGCCTATAAATAGAGGGAGAATTTACAAGATAAAGGGGTCAGAAAAATAGAGATCTTCTTATGTGTTGAAAATCCTCAAACCCCCTTTACTCTAAAAACCAGAATTATCCATAAAAACCTCCCTCTTTGAGCTTTGAAGTCCAAACCCTTTGAACCTCTCACACTTTGCAAGTTCTGTCCAAACAAACACTCCACATGCATCATACAGAAGTTGTTCAAACTCAAGAACAACTTCTGTAACATCACTATTTTCCAAAATCAAAAACATCCACCTGCAACTTGACTTCTCCAACTCAAACTCAAAGCACAAATTTCAGTTTCAAGGTAAGTCTTCTTGACTTTGAGATCTTCATTTCAAACATCATTAGTGAAGATAAAATGTATATATCATTTCCTTGAAGCTAATCATATGCTTGCTTTTCATTTTCATTAACCATGTGTTGAGAACTGACTCGTACATGTAACAGAACAATGATAGAAGTAAAAAAGCACTAGTATGAGTCGATACGAAACACTACGAGTCGACACATATTATGTACAAAACAGGTTATGAGTCGACACAAAATGCATATGTGTCTATACAAAGAAGAAATAAGTTGACACAAACCATTATGTGTTGACTCATACAGAGTTGTTTTTGACTTCCAAGGGCCAAAAATGAGTACGAGTCGATACAAAAAGCGCATGTGTCGATACAAAGTAGTATGAGTCGATACAAACCCTTATGTGTCGACTCATACTGAGTTATTTTTGATTTCCAAGAGAAAAGAGATGATATGATCCAATACAAAATAGATATGAGTCAATACATAAGCTCACGCGTCAATACATAAAATTTTCGTATCAATGCATAAGCTCATGAGTCAATACATAAAAAATTTCTTAAAACAATTTTTTTTCTTTTTTTACATTATATTTCTTTTTCTAAATATTTTTATTGTCATTCAATATTTAATAT